GTGCCTAACAACACGATTAGCTGTGACCTTGTCTAGGATATTTTAAAGGTTTCTCTACAGTGAAATGAATTACTAAGTGCCGCTAATGTTGGCTGAAGGAAAGACCATTTCTGAGCGCTGGGGTGAGGACTTTGCATAGCTTGTTTTCTGAAAATCTATCATCCTTCCTTACCACTCAGGGTGGAAGTCACAGTCCTCAGTCTCACTCTTGTATCCCAGTTACGAGCCTTTAGCAGCTGACCATCTCCCCAGCCCCGTCACTTTCTTTCTCAAGTGTCCTGTGTAAAATAATCAGCTATGCTACAGGAAGTTAGGGGTGTTGGAAAGCTAGAATGCCATATTTACTTGTTTTTCATGTACTATTAGAAATATTTTTGCCCACTATATAAGAATATGGGGCATTTATAAAGTGACTATTTTGATTTCTATCCAAATATTATTTATGTGGTTAAAAATGATATTATTGTGCTTTAGGACAAGAGTAGGGCACTATGTCATATGGCTCATAGCTGTGATCACATGCTAGACCACAACTGAAAATCCATGCAATTGTCTGCTGAGCATCTCAATTCATTTCAGAATTTAAGGTGGTGTTTAATGTGGTTTTGTTCTAAAATGAAAGCCACTTTGCCTAAGTTCATGTTCTTACTACTTTACCATTTCATCGGTTCTTGCTGGGTGCTGCCAACTAGATTCTGGGAATTTCCGTTCATGTATAAGACTGTCATACTTCAAAGAAATGCAAGTGTCAGATTGGGAAGCAGTCCAGGCATCCTTTAGAGCATGTGTTTCTGTGTGCAGATTTATTCTTGCTAGTGTACATGCTCTGATGTATGCACACATGTGCGAGTGTTTCAGATATCAAGAAGACAGAAAATCATGGGTTCTCTGATTTAGAAAGAGTAATACAGTAAACTAACATTTTTGAAGTCATGAAAGCCTCAAATAAGGATACAACTGAAGAGCAAGAAGACCATTGATTAGTGTATTTAGCAAAAAGAAGGTGTGAAAAGGTAGAGCATGGAGGGAGGTTAGGGCAACCGTAACTGTTTGTTATGCCACTGTGATGGTGGAAACATGATAGTTTGCATTTTTCAACCTGCACAGGCTTGAACAACACAAAGTATAAAGTGTGACTATAGGCTTCAGTTCATAATAATGTATCATTATTAAATTAGAAATTATAGCAAATGTAAAATACTAACATTAAACTAGTAATAGGAAAAGGAGGGGAACATGAGTTACACTCTGTACTTCCTGATCAGTTTCTTCATATCTCCCAAACTAGTCTGAAAATCAAGTTTGTTAATTATTAAAAATGCATTTGGTGCATGAGCAGTGGTGCACTCCTGTGATCCCAGCACTCAGGAGGCAGGGGCAGGTGGATCTCTGTGAGTTCAAGGCCAGCCTGCTCTACAAAGTGAGTCCACAACAGCCAAGGCTACACAGAGAAACCCTGTCTCAAAAGAATTGTTTGGTTTAAAATTAAGTATTCCCTCTGTAAGCTCACAAAACCTAATAATAAATATGCAATTCTTGCAATTGGACAGGTTGGTAAAATATGATGAATTAAAAAAACATATTGAACAAGAATGTTCCAGTTTGGCAATATAAAAGAATAAGTGTCTTCAAATACTCTGATATTAAAATATCTTTTTTTCATTTTTGAGACAGGGTGTCTCTGTGTAGGCTGGTTGTAAACCACCAAATTCAGGCTTGGTGAACCCGGGTACTCTGGAAGAACAGCAGCCAGTACTCTTAACCTCTGAGCCATTTCTCCACCCCCTTAGAAATATCTTAAAATGTTAACTTAAATATAAAAAAGAATCTCAAGATTGATGACATATAAATACTAGAGATGTTGATCATTTTAGAATATCCATCCCCAAATCTTCATTTTTCAGAGCTGAACATTGTTTCTTGCATGCTAGAAAAGTCAAAAGCGTGAACTTATAATGGGAAAGGGATCTGACTGAAGACCAAGAACAACAAAAGACCAGCTCAAAAGAAAAGGACACATGAGAGAAATACTGCTGCTGAAAAAAACATGGCAAGCTTATCTTATTTATCATTATCAAGAGAGGAAAAAAAGCTGTAAGGAAAGAGAAAGTGGAGAGGTGAAAAATCAAGTAGCTTCCTCATGGATGTGATCTGGTTTTTTCAGTCCATGTTTATGATAAATATGCAGAATCAAAATCTTAAGCCAACCCTGCAGTCCAAGATGGTAAAATGGATTCCAGATGAGGCTATCTCAAGCATTTAGCAGAAAAAAACAAAACTACTACGCTCTACCAGACATGAAGAACAGACGCTGTGTTCATCTCAGGTGTCTTAGCTAAGTTTGATACAATAAAGTATCATAGAACGGTGGCTTGGAAGGGAGTAAATTTTTTTCTTACTGTTGTCAAGCTTGTAGCAAAATGCTAGTGTGGTTAGGTTCTGGTGAAGGCTTCCATACTTACAGCTCCTGGTAGCCTCATGCTCAGGGAAAACACCACCACCACCACCAACAACAACAAAAATGGTTAGAGCACTCTTTGGGTTCCCTTTTGTAAAGAGTAATTAGTTATCACCTAATTACCAAAAGGCCCTCCCGCTGATAGCACCTGCTGATACCATCCCCTTGGCAATTAGGATTCTGACATACCAACCTGAGGAAAGTGTGAATGTGGCCACAGGCACTCAGGTCATTGAACCAGGCTTCAAGTATTTCTCATATATGAGCTTCTACTGTTTATGAACTTGAGAGACAAAAAATAATAAAAACAGAAGAATACAAAACAGAAATAGGAAAATTAAAGGAATTGTGGAGATGAATCAGTATAAAAACAAAGAGCTCACTGAACTTAAAGTGTTTAAAATTCAGATGCAGAGAGTAAAATATGCTGAAGGAGATATAATGAAGGGATTAAAAAAACACAAGCAAGGAACAAGAGACTATAAAAATAATGAAATAAAAATAATGGAAATTATGAAATACAAACAAACAAAAGTGTTGCAATTAAATAGTACAATCACTTAAAGTAATAAAGGTTCTAAACAACAGATTGGCAATTTATGAAAAGAAAAATTTGGGAAGATAGTTCTAAAGGAAAAAAAAACCTATGTAGTAGTGAAAATATAGCACAAAAAAGGGAAGTAGAAAATATGAAGAAATTTAAGTTTATATGCATCTTATAAAAGATAGGAATACATAATTTTTTCAATAAAGTTGAACATTTAAATAATAGAGTGAATTCATAGAAAAATATAATTGAAGGAGATATAGATAGCATGAGCAGTCCTTGTAATCCTCCGAAAATTGAATCAATAGTGAAAAGCCTTCCTCATGGACATTCAAAGCCTGTGACTTTAGAGGAAATATCTATCAAACACTCTAGGTCAAAAAGCAAAGACAAGGCTCCAGCTACACCACAGTTCACCACAATCAACACAAGAATGAAAAATTAAATATAACCCAATTCAAGAATATAGGTCAAAACTCCTAGGAACATATTAGATGGACTAGGCTCATACAGTAAGTAGTGGATCAGAAGCACGCTGATTTTATGTCATTATTGCAAAGATAGTTTTACATTAGAAATTCTGATGAGTGCATTCCAACTCACAATATTCCCAAATTTTAGGGGGGAACCCAGTTGATGTAGAGGAAAAATTAAAACGATTTCTACAGCCATTTAAATAATAACCCCAACTCAAACTAGAAATGGAAAGCCTCTTCCCTAATACAGAATGAAACTGTCATAATAAAACATGCTCATCCACCCTCTTAGCAAATCCTACCAAAAGTTGGCAAAGATGTGGCAGAGCAAAAATTCTCATGTATGCTTCTAAGTGTGGGGGCTGGTAATACGTCTTTGGAAATGATCTGGGGTAACTTAACGGATTTTAACTCACACCTTTATTCCATTCTCACCTATGAGCACTAGAAGGCTTTCACGGGATAGTCTTGGCAACATCATTTACAGCAGCAACAACTAAAAGCTAAATATTTTGTAACAACAATATCAAATATCTATAGGTAGAAAAATGGGCAAGCAAGTAATTCGTCTCATCTGTGGAGATGAGCTGACCGACTAGACAGCAAAGACCTGCAGCTTCACGCACCAACACAGTTGGAAAAGCAAGAGGCATGAGGAGAGCAAATGGCAAACACATGAAGCTGCTTTTGCAAGGTTCAAGGGCAAGCAAATTAAATACAGGAAGACAACAGAATTTAAAATCTAACTATTTTCCTTTATAATTAATAAATGTTATGATTCTACACACACACATGCACACACACACACACACACACACACACACACACACACACAGAAGCTAACAAACGCCCACATGGAGGACAATTAATGCGATTGGAGAATGGTATATATGGGGTCTGGGCAGAAATACTAGCAATATTTTTTTTCCTTGAAAAACAAGTGAGATAGTTATCAATTTCTTTTTAGCCTATTAGTATATAGGTGTTATTTATATATTTTTGCATTTATCAAATATTTTATAATAAAAGGTTATAAGAGTTGAACCAATGTGTTAGTGAACAGTGCTGTTTACAAACTTTCCTTTTATAATAAAGGTTAATAATGGAGACAAGAAGAATAGGGCAAGCAGATGCGATAGTGTGCCTCATTAACATTAGCTCTCTGTGTGTGCGTGCATGCTGTGAGTATGTGTGTGTGTGTTCTGAGGAAGGGAATGTAGGGCTACACACATCTTAATCAACTATGCTACCACTGATTTACATTAACAGCTTCCTCAAGGTTTTCATCAGGTGCACTTAAATCATATTACTTGAGGCTTGGCTGTATACTGGTGAAGAGACAGATAAAACAATGCAAGCCTTGTGAGGCTTCTAATCAGCAAGATCTTGGGCTTTAGTGCCCTGGTCTGTAACCCTGTCACAATGATGTGGGTGATAAATGAAGCAGCACTAGAAAATGGTGAGAAGGTTCTTTTTCCTGATGGAACACTGTGAAATGTTCTGGTATTTCTTCTGGTAGGCTTTGGCCATTTGACGAAGCAGTTGATGACACTGGCTGCTGGACGTGTGGCACTGGCCCTCGAGGGAGGACATGACCTGACAGCCATCTGTGACGCATCTGAAGCCTGCATAAACGCCCTTCTAGGAAATGAGGTAAAACCTACCAGCACACAAGAGCAGGGTTAAAGGGCTGGGATGTATGCATGTGCATTTTAGTTTTTCATTTAATCTGTGAAAGTAGAATGTTCTGTGTAGCTCTCGCCATGAAGGACGTAGGCATGAGTTGTTTCTGTGCTTTGACTGACATGCTACACTCTCTTCCCAGGTAGGGTATCCACATAGCATTCCTCTCAATCAAATCATTTACACAGCAGAACACTGAGCAATGAAATCCCTTGGAAAGAAGAATGTTTTGTCTACTGACCCAATCAAATGAACATTGAATCATTTAATATGAAATTAAACTTTTCAGAGTTTTTGAGATTTCCTGTAGGACTGTGAGGTCAGAAAAATAAAGCCATTTTAACAACATTTTTTTTTAAGCTGTTTTCTTTTTCTTCATTTGAGAATGTTTTGGGCTAAGGTAGAAAGAGTGTCCTAGCTCTCGAGGAAGGACTAGGAATCTTTTAAGAGTTGAGAAATCCACGATTTCTGTGCAGCTGCAATGCAGTAGATCTAAGACCTCAACTTGCATCTAAAGAGGTCAAAGGTCCACAGCATATGCCTACCTTGCAGCACAGATTGCTAGTCGCTCCTCGGGTCTCATATTTAATCACGTGGACGTTTGTGTTTAAGTCGGGACAAGATTTCAGGTCAATTCTCCTCAACTCGACAACTCTTTCAATGCTTGTATATATTGACTAGTATGATCCAGGTACTCAGTTTTTATAGTGAATGTATGACAGTTTAATGACTTGGTTTTTGTTTGGGGAATGGGGATGGGGAGTGGGGGAAGGTTGGGAAAGTTTTTGCCTTTCTAGTGTGAACTTGAACTGGAAATATAACTTTTTCTAATTCAAAAAATTGTTTTTGAACCTTGCCTTTTGTATTGTTCTTTAACAAAAACTTACAGTATTGCATGTATATTTATGGAACATTGTACTTTTCCTTCTCTACGCTGAATGCATAACTTTCACTCCTGTCCTTACTCTATGAGTCTAAAGTACTTCTATGCAATTATTTTGCCACATTTATTGAGTAAGTGTATAGAGAGAAAGTGCATATATATTAACATAAATATATGTATTTATATATGTATTTATGTATAAATATATATTATATATTTAGTTTGAAAGAATGATGGCAGGCCCGACAAAGTACCCAACAGTGTTATGCAATTTTAGAAATTACAGAGGCTCTAAGTAAGTGCCTAGTGGTGAGCATCAACAATAGCCAGCTCTTTCTGCTCACACATCATTCACAGTATCAAAACTTTAAAGAATAGTCTTTTGTAGTCTGTTATAAGCTAATCATGTCAAACACAATGGGAGATTATTTGCGAGTTGCAACATAGGCATGTCAAAAATTCTGGATCTATTGGGGAGTTGGTTTTAACTTGCATTTCTTGCCCACCAGACAATGGTTTTTTTGTTTGTTTGTTTTTGTTTTTTGTTTTTTGGAGCAGTTCTTATATGGTCTTTAATCACTTATGTAATCTTAAAGACTCCACAGTGTCAGTGTCACAGATACTTGAAAACCAGAATGAACTTTGCATTGTGACTCTGTGGATGACTGACTGATCTGCCTAAAGAGAAACATCAGCCAGCAATAGAAGCAAACTACGTATCCAACCTCTTGGAAGGAATTACAGATTTAGTGGCTCTCTTTCAACACAGCCATGAAAATGAGCCTTTTTACTATTAAAATCTCTGTACTTACCCTAAAAGACTCACTTCTATAAAAGCATCTCTGGTAAAGATGACAGAATCTCTCCAACGATCTTTTACTCTAAGAAAGACCAGGCTGATTAAGACTGATTAATCAGTCTTGATCAGTCTGCATGGTCATAGAGATGGCTAATAATAAAACCCAGGAAGTAGTGACCGAAATTATTTGGGCACTATATTGATTATTTAACTGACTTTAATGCTCTGGATGTCTTTTAGTAAGTTTTATCTTGTGTTTAGAATATCCTAACTAGCATCTTGCTTGTTTTGGTTGGCCATTCAAAAGCAAAATCTAAAATTTGTTTATCTTAATCCAAAGACAGGGGGTTTAGTCTAGTTGTTTCACTTTTTTTCCTACTAAAAATTTTAGGGACATAGACAGAGATATAGATTTCTCACAGGGTACTTTAGGTCTGACAGATGGGGTTGATGAACATTGAAAGATAAATTTTGTTGCAGTGGATCTCTCTGTACACCCAGAAGAACAAAGCAAAGTGAAAGAAGGATTTTTAAAATGGAAAGTAAAAGAAAAACACAAGTGTGCTATACATTATAATTCATTTGAGAAGAGGAAATGAAAATCTAATACTTGAAACAACTCAAGAAACAAAGAGTTCTCACTTTCATTGACAATATAATTTATAATCCAAGGCCTGGCTTGGGTATTTTTCTCAGGTCAAGGGTCATTGTGACTCCATTGAAGTTTTAAATTTTATTTCTGCAGAAATAATAATACATAAGGCATATTGTGTGTACCTCACCATTTAACCAAAGTACCTACATGCAATTTCCACAGCAGTTTTATGTGGTAATCTCTGGATAAGAAAACAGAAACGACGTCTTTCAGATGCCAATTACTGCAATTTAAAATTCCCAATTTCCCTCCAAGCTCCCTTGCAAGTGATTAATAGAGCAATTACGACTTATTATCTGGGATTTCACTGTTACAAACAACAAAATGTAGTGAAGCCGGAGCTGGAAACACTGACAGAACCAACCGGCTTCTCAACCACGATCCTGCAATTGAGCTCAAATTAAAAAGGTCAAGAGGGCCTCTGTGAGGGACTCTGTACTCTGTCAGATGTATTTATTCATGTGTAGAGGATTAAAATTCATAAACATTTTCCAGTTTTTTAAATGCTATTTCTTTTTGTTGTTGTTCTTGGCCAGGCTCTTGGCCAGGCATTGTCAATATAGCAAAATAATTCTCCTCCTCCTCCTCTTTCTTTTTCTTTTCTTCCTCCCCCTCCTCTTTTAAGAACTTATTTTCAGAAAAATAATATCTATTACATAACCACAAAGAATTGTAGGATCAGCCAGAACCATTGCAAACACATAGATGGATACCAAAATTCACTGTTTAAGAAAATGCTATCTAAATATTGCAATTAAATAGGCATTTTCCTCTTTTAATATACTTTCAGCATGAAAATGATATGCTTAGCAAAACATCTAACTGTTCTTTTAAGAAATATGCATAAGGAAAGTCAAAATAATATACTATTGGATTAAAACTAATTTGAGCATGGTACAAGAAATTCCTGGATGAGACTGGTTTTTGAAATCATACTCGAATTCTTTTTTTAAATTTATTCTTTTTCTTGGCCAAGTATAGAACTGAGATTTATCAGTGCAATCAAATTATGATGAACATTTTTTAACATTTTCACTGCAGCTCTTAAAAACACCAGCTTGGCATTTTTAAGAAATTAAATAGCTCAATGAGAAAAGTCATGAGATTGATTGGAAAAGCATCAAGTACAGTTCTGTGAACAGCTACATCAATTTTAGATTTAGTGACAGAAACATGTGTGTTTCGTCCCTTGAGGGTTTTATTTCGGTCGTCTATATTGGAACTGGCCAGCAAACATAGTCACAGTTTCTTTAAGGCCACATTCAACTACTGTTCTGCAAACCCAATCAGCAGCATCTTCCTTAGAGCTGAGAAAAGCTTCAGGATTTTTCCATCCCTATGGAATCCAATCTGAAAACAAACATTCTGGTGAGCAAAAGAAAGAAGAGGATAGACAGTAGTAGAAGCTTCAGGTTGTGAGTTAAGAACAGGACCTTACAAAGGTCACAGACCATGCAAGAATTAAAAAATGAGATTAAGTTCGTTAGAAAGAGTGATTTTTTTTTAAAGGTAAGCCCATATTTTCAAAGCTATGGAAGTGCTTGAGGTAATGTCATAGTTTCTCAGCTGCCCTTACTCATTAATGCTTGATATGTTTTCTTTCCATTTTCTTCTTTTATCTTTCGTTTGTTCCTCCTTTCCTTTCCCACTCCCTTCCATCCTTCTATTTTACTCACTCCTTCTACGTTTCCATTCCTCCTGTTTTTTTAAAAACAGTAACTGCTCTCTTCTAAAACATACATGCTGCTTTCCTTTGATTGGGATTTCACAGACAGTGGTTCAACGTGGAGATTGCCTTTGTTTTTAAAGATGACTTTGTGCTCTAAAGATACTGAAACAAATAATTTAGCTGATTCCTAGTGGGTGTTGACAGCACCCCTGAAATGAACTCTTGAGATATTGTTGTCCAAGTTTTTCACTGAAGGGGAGGAGGTGTTTTGCATTGGGTTTTATGTAAAGACATTGTTTTGCCATCTTTTTTCATCTTTTAGATTATGGATGACTGAGGCTTAATCCATTGGGGAATTGGTGAGAATCTGGGAATGCTTACAAGATCCTAAATAGGGGCTGAAAGAAAGTGTATGATATGCCAGAATAGCATTCCCCACCCCATTGTCTTCTTTTAGATTTTGATACCTGTTTGTACTCCAAAAGTAGTTATGTAAGTAATCTAAAGGGAATGAAATTGTTTTGGAAAAATATTACTTGAAGATTCCTTCAGTATAGACATGCCCTGGGAGACTGATTTCTTATATCAGTGCTCACCATGAGAAATCAGATCATTTGCTGCCAGAAATGATGCATGATTTCAATAACTCAAAACTACTTGCAACTCATCTGAGTTATTTCTGTCTGCGTTTTTCAGATAGTTAAAAGAAATATGGGTTGTGAGCTTGAACACATCATGGGTTACAGCTACCAATAAAAGAAATAAAGCATTTTTTATAAGGAACAGAATGGAATGCTTTTATCTGTCCATTTATTACGTTGCCTTTTGTTAGACATCTATGTGTGACCAAAAGTACTGATGCAAGGAGAAATAATGAGAGCATTATCAAAGATCTTCGGGATGCAGTGCAGGGTGTTGATTTGACTTACAAGACTGTAGGGATATTCTACTGACAATTATAATT